TCCTGATGTTTGTTTTTAATGGTTATCATTATGAACAACTTGATGGGATGTCTATTGGTGCAAGAGTTGCACCATGTTTTGCTAATTTATTTTTAAGTTATTATGAAGAAAAGTGGTTAAAAAGTTGTCCCGAAAAGTTTAAACATTTATACTATAGAAGATATGTTGATGATATTTTTGTAATTTTTAAGAATAAACTTGATATTCAAGAATTTCAAAATTATCTGAACAATCAACATAACAATATTAGATTTACATTTGAAGAACAAACAGCTAATAGCTTACCTTTCTTAAATATCAAGATGATTGCTATTTTATTTAGAAGTTTTAACACTAAGTGCTATCTTAATCCAACTTTTACAGGACAATATTTTCATTTTTTACCTTTCGAATTTAAAAATAACCTAATTCATAATTTAATTCATGGGGCTTATAACATAGTTAGTTCTTTTTCCTCATTCTGTGAAGAAATAAGAACATAAGGTTGTTTTACAAAAAAAAAAGAAAGTTTTCCTGAACAGTTAGTTAATAGTGTTATCAGGAATTATTTAAAAGCTTTAAATGCTTAAAAAATTAGTAAACTGGTTGAAAAAAAAAGAAATAGTTTATTGTATTCTGTCATTTACTGGTAATCATTCTATAGAATTAAAGAAAAAAATCAAACCTATTCTGAATAATAAAATTTACCCAAATATTTAGTTTAGAATTATCTTTAACCTGATGTTTCATTTAAGTAATTATTTTAACTTTAAAGATAGGATTCCTATAATGTATCACTCTTACGTCATAATTTTTCTGAAGGCTCTAAAGAGGTGGGTTGTTTATTTTTATCTTGCACCCTGTACAACAGCAATATATATATTTTTGTACCAGAGACAATGGAACCCATCATGTGGCTAGTGTTGCATTGAGTAGGAAATAACAAGGTATTTATTTCCTCTGCTCCTGTTCAGTGCCTGCTATTGAAATTGGGTTTCCTGCAAGATTGCTTCAGAAGTTTTTATATTTTGTCTTCTAAGCCATACTACTGCTTCTAAACAACAAAATTTGATGTGGATTCCTATTCTCACACCTGGCTAGCCTTTGCTATCCATATTTATGATAGTCCATTGAGAAATCTCTAAGTGGTGACTATTTAAGTGATAGATAATTTCTGTTCAGTCCAAATAGCTCTCTGTTGTTTTCCCCTATAGAAATTCCTCCATCCTGTTTTCTTCTAACGGAGTGGAACTACACTTGCTTCCCCAGTATCAAGCCACTGGAGAGGCCAATATGGAGAGTTCCCCCTTGGGTCAGTGTAATCTCACTGGTATGACAATGAGTGGATGCACTTCCCATTCAGAAGCAGTTCAGGGTTTTTACCTGAAAGTGTAGTATATGCCACTCATGCATGAAGAACCAGACTATTCCTAGTGGTTGTGACCTGCTGGGTGGATTTTTAGTTTCACTTGAGATGCAGGTATGAAATGATTCAACCATGCACCTGCATATTCTGGTAGGTATTTCATGTAACTATTTCTCATGTAGTATACAGTTTGACTAACTGTCTCAGCCACACTATACATACATAGTCTGCTAATGTTCTGAAATATTCAGGGTGACTGAGCAGGCTTTACATTTCACCCACTTTTGTGACATTTCAAGTGAAGTAGGAAGTTCTTTTGAGTGTACCTTTCTGTACTGTCACTTGTACTGGGCAAAGAGTACTTTCTGCTTGAAAAGGATGAAGTCTCTTACGAGTGATTCACTCAATGAGTTTTTCCTTTCTTTTGCTATATTTTTGAGAAAGGAGCTCATATTTTAATATTCTTTGTGCAAACTGGTTCCTTCATCATATTTTCAATGTGGGATTCTAGGTATATATTCTGTGAAAAGGTGAATAGTTTTCTGATATACACTCACCTCTCCAAAGAACCACCTACCTTCCTTTCCCATTTCTGGTGTCCCTCTCTTGCCTTTTTAAGAAAGAGCTTTTGCTATACACAAAGTGCTAAAGGGGAATATTGAGTGTGGAGGATGTATTGTCTCGTGTTAGTGGAGGGGTATAGTCTAGTGTTGGTTGCATTATAGACTGGTGCAGCACATGTATTATGTGTAGGGGTGAAACTTTCATTCAAAGGTTTGGTGCCTGCACAAAAACTTTTTGGCAGTGGTTGAGGTATTAACTGTCTGATCTGTGGAGATGTATCTGTCTGAAATACATTTTCAAGCAACTGTTACCTTTTTTCTTTTTGTAATTGATAATACAATTTTGTTAATGGGTCTTTTTGCCCATACATGTAGATTTTTCCCATTGATGGGCTTAATCACAGTATTTTCAAAGTCTTCCATGTAAATGTTGGCTATCAGAACCAATCCTGGTGAGACCATTTTGTTTGCATGTTGCCGTTTTTCTTTTTTAAGTAAAATGTAGAGATGTTAAACGTTATTTATGTAAAAGAAGTATTGTGTATAATAATAGTTTGGTGTTTTTTCTGATAATTTGTCTTCCAGCAATTTTTGGATGATTTATCATTTTTTCCCCAAGGGTTATTACTTTTATGTACAGATTTTGCATCATAACACTTTAGGATTGCTTTATAACATAAAGAGGATTTTTGATGTTTCCTAATAATGATTCAGAATACTTTTGTGTATTTGGACATCTTTTAAGTTGCCATATTCAGGTAGCTGATATTTGATCTGTTTTAACTTGGTCTATACTAAGAATAATCAAAATGTTAATACTAGGATTCTTAAGAAAACAGTGTTTATTAGAACTTTAAAAAGTTAGGCAGAATATACTCACAAATCAAAATGCTAGACCTAGACTTTTACAAACAACTCAACTAAACTTCTAACTCGGCAATATAACCTTCACATGAGAAGTTAGGAAAAAGTACAATAACTTATCACCAAATCTTTGTAATAATATAAAATCTTTAAACTCTGATTAGTTATGACTCGCAACTTTCATAAGCTATGACTTTCAACCAATATCTAATCTAAAGCTCCTTGTTCTTGATTAACAGTCTTTGGTTCTATTTTATTTGCTACTAAACAATGAGATTACAGTTTAGTGTAGGACAGTTATGATTAACTTACTTACAAAGAGTGACAAACTTCAGGACTCACAAAATTTTGATAACCCTACCTGCCCCTTGGGTAAACCATTTGAGGCATTTGGTTATCCAAAAAAGTTTCAAATTGCACAAATAATATAATTGAGTTTGTGATTCGTACAAAGTCATGGACAATTTGACTTAAATAATTTGTTTTCTATTTTATTTCTAAACTTTAAAGATGTATACATATTCAACTGAAGAGTAGTCAATAATTGTCAAGTCTCAAGTCACAGAGATCTGCACAAAGCTCCTAAAATAACTTAATATTTCTGAAAGTGCTATTTGCTGTCTTCAACACAATGAACAAGATATCTTTATCACCTATAGGGTAGGTTGATGACATTTTATCCAACACATCCTGCTGTGATGTTAATAGTTGAGCTTCATCCTTAGATCTACTCTGACTGTGGCTAGAGTTATTGTGAACATGATTTTAACTAAAGTATGTGCAAGTGGTGACAGTCTATTGTATTTAGAAAATTTATCCAAAGAAAGTTCTTTCTTGGCTGTTATTTATAATGGGCAGTGCAAAAATGACCCATCATTATGTCAAAATATGACATGCTTATATTAGTGACAGTTTTTGCCATTGGCATCTGCCCTGGATTTTCTGTGACTACTTGGGCATTTACTCATTTCATGCAATGTGCGGAATTGTCATGGGTTTTTATGGGATCTTTATCTAATGTACTTGTGCTTTTGATGAAATAACTTCCACTGTGTATGAGCTGACTGAATTTCTGACAATGTTACAAAACATTTTGTTCTTTTTCTTGTCATATTGGAGCTAAAAGTAATATTTTCTTTTGTTGATGATAGCATTAAAAAGGGATTAAATTTTTTTTCATATGCACATTTTTCGTTTTACCATGTGCTTTTCTGTGCTGGGGGAGAGGTCAGTTATTTCTTGTTGAACTGCTGCTACTAAAACATTTTTGCATATTGACCATATTTTGAAAGAAAAGGGTGTTCTCTTCTCTCCTTGCACTGAACAGAAGAAACTCAACAGTGCTGATTGGCTAACAAAATTTGATATGTTTCTGGAGGAAATAGAGTATGCTAGGTTGATGGTGAAATGTGAATCCATTATACTTATCTGTGTTAACCTAAATCACTGAAAACACTGATCACTGATCTTGCTGGTGTATTGTGTCATACCAGAATGGTCTGTGAGGGGGATTTTTGTTTGAGAAACAGCTGTTTGATTACAGCACAGAACCTTATTTTATTTTATAGAGTTTATAGTTACAGTCCCAAATGGGATTGCCCATTTGGTTAGCAGCCGAAAAAAGTTGCCCAACAGATTTTTTTTTGTTTATTTTGGACCATTGGGCTAGCAATTTTCTAAACCTTGCCATAGTTTCTGTGACAAAGAATTTGGTGCCACCCATTGTCAGTTATTTGGTTTTACTATTAATGTTACAGTTAATTCTAATGGGGTGTGAACTGGTCCCATGCATAAACAAACTTGAGACATCTCAACTAAATGACAATGGAAAAGGTGTGTAAAATATAAACATAATAATAAAGAAAAAACTTGAGAGTACAAATTTCTAAGGATTGCCGCAATTTTGCTCTATATTTTCAGCTTATTTCTGAAAAATGTTGTTATATAAAATCACCAAATTATATTTGTATCACAGTCCAGTATCATCATTATTATTGAAAATTATTTGTCAGTAAACATCTGCTGCATCAGAAAGCATTTATTTGTTGAACTTAAAAAGGACACCTATTACATTTCAATCAACTTATCTGACTGCTTAGATTTGTTATGAAATAACATATTTCTGTATAGTCCAAAAGAAACTGCTTTTAATTTCTCCATTCAAAACTATTTCAGCTACATTTTAGGATTCAGCTTATTGTATTAATGATTGATGGGTCATTTTTCAGAAATATCAAATACAAAATGGGTCAACACATGAAAAGTGGAATTCAGTATTAGTAAAAGTTTTCCATGGATGTTTTGCTTTACGAGTACTAACATTTCTAAAAGAACAGCACGAATCAGGTAAATTATTTTTTCTTTTACATAGCTTATTTTGATTATCCATTTGCTTGCTGGTTGAGTTTAACACAATTTGCACCATTTCATGGAATCACTTTAATACCTAAACCAATTACTTTACTGTATTTTCTTGATTTGAATAGTTATATATTTTGATTTTATGAATATTTGCATGTCATTAGGAACATTTCATAACATGAAGAAGCTCAAATCAATATTTCATTAATTTAGAAACCTTATAATCTGTTTTTAGTTATTTTGGCATTTGTGCATTCTTATCATATATTCCAGGGGACAAAATAGTTAGTTTCATTAGCAGAAACTGCTAATCATCATTGAATTTGATTAGCAGTTAGCAAGTATTGCTTAAGATCTTTTTAACATTTATCATTTTAACACATTATGGCAACTAAATCCAGCACTAAAGGTCTTAACTCTTTGTAAAAACATCCACAAGTGAAAAAGAGGTAAATGGTATGCTTTTATTTTAATAACAGTTTTATTCAGCTTCAAACCCTAATATTTAATTGTACGATACATAGGATTTCATGAACAAAATAGTTCCTGGTATATAAAGTAAAACTTCAAAATTGCAAGAAATACCAAACACCTCAGCTGTCATAAAATAAAGAAAATCAATTAACCAAAGAAAGGGGTGAATTGAAGATATAGCAACTGAACAGGGTTGCCATAAATCGTTTTTCAAATTAATCTAGTTTATTTTTTATTTTTGGTGAGACTTCATCACTCTTCACAACGTGGTCTCCTTGGCTTTATGAAGAAGAAAATTTCTAGTTATGTTTCAGCAGTAATTACCCCTCTCACCATGCGCATCCTTTACTGTGCATGTCACAAGGTTTTTTAGTGAGTTACATTCAAAATTTAATTAAACTACTTTTTGTTTGTTCATGTTATACTAATTAGTATAGCTTAAAATCATAGCTAGTAATCCATATTTTAATATATACAAGTTTTAAGTTCTTAGTTTTATAAGGCAATATTAAAAAAAGATCTTGAATTTCCCCTAGTGTGAAAAATGTGACCTTTTTCTCTTAAAATCCCTTCTTTTTTAATTTATTTATCACCCCTCCAAGAAGTACAAAATTTGATGTAAGTTACGTATTATAATATTGTTATTGCTCAGATGAAACATAATTTTCATAGCTTTCAATTTTGTTTGGTTACAGAGCCATCAAATAGAAAATTGGGCCCTTCTTGTCACACCCACCTGTCACATCCTCTCTTTTAGGATTTGTCAATAGTTCTCTCTTACATTTGATACTATATTATTTTTAACCAATAGAAAGCTGATGTTTTCATTTTTCAAATGACGTATTATATTAAGTTGTTTTCCGTACAGAAAAATTTTAATTTCTCATTCAGTACAAGCTTCATTCTCATGGGGAAACGCAATGACTAGCTTGGATGTATTTTTAATGGCTCATGTTGCATAGTTATAAAGCCAGAAAAATTGTGATAGTTATGAGACATTGTCTCTGCTTTTTGCATGTTATTATTCTATGTTGTTTGGTGCATTGTTTAATTAAATAAAAATTATTTAGTGCACTACTACCGTTAGTGTAAAAGATTTAGGGTTAAGTGTTATCGACAGTTGACAGCAAATAAAGAGAAAATCTAGGTAAGTACTTTATTTCTCGTATTTCATGTGTATTCTTTATTTATTATTATAAAAGTAATTAAAATGCAAAAATAAGGCTAGTTTAGGTAAAATAATTAATAATAACAATAATATAATAAAAACATTTTTCATAAAACATGCATGTGAGCAGCTTGGAGTATCTTGTGGGTAACGTAATTCGATAACTCAACATGACCTGCATGTTCCCCAAGTGATTAACAATTTATATCCTAAGGGTGCGAATAGTACTAGTGCTAGTTAGACATGGCTCAAAGGGCAATAAAACAATAAGTATAAATATATGTATATTGTTACAAGTTTCTTGTTACAAATTGAAGACATCATAGAAAGAAAAGAGGATAATTTAGATTTTTTTTTATTTTTTTTGTGATTACATGGTTGGTCAAATTGACCAACATTGTATAGAGTTAGCATGGAGCAAATAATGATAAAATATAAAATTTTACTGAAAAAAAGAACAAAAAATGTTTGAAATGTATTTAGGAGGTTCTGGAGATTATGCAAATGACATTTGAGATTTTTGAGATGTAGAAAAGTATTTTTAACCTTAATCTTAACATTAAAATTGTTTTGCACTTGGACTGGTAAAAAAAAAGACTCAATATATTCACAGACAAATCTTTAGTAAAAATACTTGACTATAAACATGATTTTGTGTACAAACGACTTGTAATGTTTGCTAAAATTCTGCTATATTTTGTGAAGATACATATATTGTATTGAAATCTATTGTATTAAAACTATATACAAGTAAAAAATGATCACATGGTTGGTCCTTGGGACTTAATCCATTTTGAGAGAGTTCCTAACCAGCTCAGTGCTAAGTGTGCAGTGCATGTACTGTATGTACATAATCTAATCTATTTGGCTAGGCTGTGGATGCTGGTCAGGTGCATTCCAAATGTCATAAACAGACTACTACAAACTGTATGTGTATGCGATATACACATGACAAAGTGTGAAAATACTGTATGTGCCATTTGGCAGGAATTTCCAAGAAATAAACATCAGCTTTGGCTTTGGAATATCAAACTGAAATGTTAGGGTACTTTTAACAATATACAAGAGAAAGAAATTATTTGCATGTTATGTTAAGCAAAGAGGAAAATGATTTGCAGTTGGGGTTGTTTTGATTCTCAAATTGTGATGCAAATCTGGATATTTTGTCCCTTGTATTCACAACAAGATACATTATATTGCAGTCATTGCGTGTAAAAAAAAGCTTTTTTAGCTATAAATGAAAACTATTGTTGAATATAGCTGCAACTAGTACTTAATAATTGCCAAATATTATGCCTTTAAAAATTGTATTGTTATATTTTCATTTTGGTGATAAAAAATTAAGAATATTAATTACGTAGTTTAAATATAGTATATTCAGGAATAAAATTAATATTTTCATAATTGAAAAATGTGTTTTGAAATATTTTATTATACTAGGAGTCCTCATTATGTGTAGTGGTTGTGTTCCAAAAAAAGTGGACATAATGAGAAATCACATAACAGGAATAGCAGTTTATGTGTAAAAAATATGGATGTGTTACACATCCTATACACTACTGCCCCCTAATCGTAGGTAGTAGGCTCTTAATGTCGAGAAACTCTTTGATCAAGTGACTGGAGCAATGATGTAGTTTTAGGGGCAAGAAAAAACCCTGTGTTAAGACTGATGTTTTCCAAATATTTTGGGTGTCCCAGGGCATTATCAGTGATAAGCAGCACCTGTAATATCACTCACTCTCCACAACAAAATGATTAGTGAACCATTCTTCAAACACTTGGCCAATAACCCAGGTCTTTTTTGTTGTCAGTCCAGTGCATGGGCAATATTTTCTTGGTGAGACCTTTGAGAGGATGAGGGTTCAGGGAATGGTATACAAGCATTGGCTTCATCTTGAATTCACCTGCTGAGTTTCTGCATAATAGTAGCATCAGCCTATCTTTCACTGCTTTAAATCCAGGTTCTACCTTCTCCTTATTAATGTAGGTTCGTGAAAGCATCCTCTTCCAAAATAGCCCAGTTTAATCAGCATTAAAAACTTGCTTAGGGATGTACCCCTCTGCTTCAGTGTTTGCTCTCAATTCTTCTGGATATCTGGCAGCATCAGTATGGTCAGCACTTGCAGATTCATCCATCACATTCAGATTATGCAAGTTCTGACAGTGAATGAACTTAGCAAACCAACTCTTACTGGCCATAAAGAGCTCCTCAGCTCCACCATCTTGGATCAAGCATTCATAAATTTTCAAAACTTTACCTCTGATACTGGCACAGCTAAGATTCATTTTCTTCTGGTTTTGATCTTCAATCCAAAGTCCAAGCATCTTCTTCATCTTCACCAACACTGGATTCCATAATTTAGTTATCACCTTTGCTTATGGTGGTGTTGAATTTATCACTGAACTATTAATTTTATCAGTGTTGTTCTTAATGGCACATATAGTAGACTCTCCAAGGTTGTAGGCATGACAAATTGTAGAGTGGTCTTCACCATCTTTCATATGCTTTAGAATTTCTAACTTCAATTATAGTGTTAATGCAGTCCTCTTCTGTTTCATGGGTGGATTAGAGCTAGGGCTAGGATATGAACTTGCAGGAAGTTTGGAAGCCACAGCTGTAAATTGAACAGGAACAGAAGTTACACTGTTCATAAAATGTGCACAAGAAGGACAGATCTGCATAGAACAATGGACAGTATGAGACCCGAAACAGCAGGGATGCATTACTTTGAATGGTGGGAACCCAAGTGTACCCACAATGCACCACTCATGACATAGGTGAGCAGCATCCGAGACACTGTGGCACCAAGAGTCATGGTGTGACTGACTTGGAACACGTTCAACTCATGAGGCCGAATTATTCTAGCTTATTCTAGCATATAATGAATTTTTGATAGAAATAGTGTCTTGCATAAGGGCAAACTTTGCATGCTGAATACATATATAACGAGGACTCTCAGTACATTGTAATATATAGCAGAAATTGATGCATAAAAATTGTATTAAAAAGCAGAGCTGAGTAAGATAATCAATTGAAATGATCAGTGATTACTCTAGAAACACTACTTAGCTCTCTGCACCACTAGGAGCTATTACCTTTCATGCAACTGCTATGAAATTTCTGTGCATGACACTTGGCAGTATCAATCATCACTTTCTACTTATTATTGGGCAATAATCTCTTCCTTTTGCCTGTTCTCACAGAGCTGTTTAACACTTTGTGGCAGGCTTATGCAACTTGTGGAAATTGAATCATGAATTTCACTTGTATAAATGTACATGCAGTAACTCTGAGATTTCTTAACTTATCCACTCAAAAACTGGCAAGATTTTGTTAAAGATC